AGACCGTATAAGTTTATTGACAGAAGAATTAGACGGTACAGAGAGGATCTTTGGGCTGGAGCAAAGTAGAGATTATAAAATTATAGAAGGCAGAAAGAAGCACATTAGACGACTTCAGACTGAAGCAAAAGAAACCGTCGAATTCCTACACTGATAGAAATAGACATTGAAGATAGGATTTTGAGAGTGGAGTACGAGAGGCCGCAGAAATTCATGAAAAATCAGAAACATTCGTAAAGAGATGATTTTAGACTGGAGCAAAAAGACCGTAGAATTTTGAAGACAGGCTGGAATAGACACTATAGACATAGACACAGCAGCCCGATTATGGAAATTTATGCCCTCCTTTACTCGCGTCTCGAAATCTCTACAGTATCTATTTCTGTTCGTCTGTGAGCAATCGCCTCTCTAACTCTAGTCAGAAGATCCACTCTGTAAGGTCTGTTTCTACCTGTCAAATTTTGTGTGCTGCATTGATGTAATGGATGGAGGCAGGGAAACGTATGTGTATGACAAAGATTTCATACGGAGGCTCGTAAAAGGGTAGGTAAAAAGTTTCTAGGATCATATCGAATAATATCTTGAATTCTGAGAAAAAGAAGAAAAAGCTCTTAAATCCGGAGAGCTAAAAATGGGTCGTGGCATAGTAGGACTGGTTGACTTTTTAGCGATCTGACCTTCTTCGAGCCTGAAAAAGTTATTTTGACTCGCAGTCTACTGAATCAAGAGTTTTTATAACCCTGGAAAGAAATTGCTAGGTAGATCTCCAAAAATGAGCAGCTTGTTTAAGCCGTTCAACGTTTTGTTTTTTTAGAGAATTTCAACTTCCGCGAAAAGCAGTAGTACTGAGTCCTGCGTAAATTAGTACTGTGTCTGTCACGGATAAAAGTAGTCTAAGGCGTGGCGAGGATTTACTCATGATTACGTGACTCACTTTCATGCAGTCCTAATTAGGTTTATGTCATGTGCAAAGTGCTTTCAGGATAATGTTTTAGATTCATGCAGATTTCTCTCCGCTAAGTTCTTAAGGAGCGCATGTGGTGCAGTGGTTAGAGGTGCACTGGCGTCGCACACGAGGTCAATGCTTCGATCTCGCACTCACGGCTCACCAATCCATCCTTTCTCCGGGATGGCTATGTTGGTATTGGTACCAGACAGGTCTCAGATTTGTCTAGGAGGATAAGCAACACTGACTCGTTGCAGCGAGAGGCCGCCGCGAGTCATTGGAAAGGCCAGATATGCATTGAATCACCTCAGACGAAGTTGAAAAATGAAAACGAATGCATGGTGCATCCCTCAGGGATTAAGCAACGCCGAGAGCTTTATCCTTATAAGCTCTTAAGCTCTATGTTCACCCATGGAGTACTTTTAATTTCAAGTTTTTGAGCAAACCACATTACTACCAAGACCTCTGTCCTACAACTATTCTATCTGCTCTCCCTATAAGTATGAAACGTCTGTTTATCATCTGCCTCGGACTTAATAATTGAATTTCACTCAACATTCTAAAACACGTAGGAATAACATCACAACACTGCTGCAAAATGTTAAAATGAAGTTTTCCTGCAATATCTATCTAGTAGACCTCATAAAGTTCAACATCGACTTGTGATTGCCATTAATACTCGTTGAAGGTTGGTAGCTAACAGCTTCGATACCCTAGATAACAGCGAAAGTAATAGCAAATCGGGGGCCTCGTTGGTGTAGTGTGTAGCAAGCCCTTGGCACCGGTTCAACTCTGGCCTGAGACATCAAATGATATTCTCCAGAATAACAACTTTCATTTGTTCAGGTAGGATGGGTCGGCATCTTTTGCGAAACTCAGATTTCCACGAATTCCCGCCACTATTTCGCAATTTTTCGTCCGTGAAGTTTGGTCAAACTGACTGTCCACGGAGTAATTGAGCACTAATTTACCTATGATGAACCTTCTAACCTCTGCTCCTAATTCTATAAAGGGCAGTGACTCTGTTTTATGGGAAAATCAGGATACCCTTACTCGTAGACTCCTACTTTCGACAAATTTCTTGACAAGGTACCCAAGTGCATTTGAATTTTCTTGTGCATTCCGTTGCGTGAAAAAGAGCAGTTGGAACGGTAATACAAATTTTTTATTCTAAATTTCGTGGGACTTTATGTGATTGCAAATGCCTCATTATTCGCTCACTGCGCGCAACAAATATCTTTGTAGAGTTTGTACAATATATTTGCATACTGAATTAGTATCTAAATGACCTGTCAAGAAATGATCGTTCATGTTTGGGCACTTCTTCGACTCGTCTCGCTCTCATGCAACCGATATAACCGGGTTTGAAAGTGGATTCGATTTGGCACCATCTCGAAAATCTATCATGTCCCGTCAGGTCCATGTCTTCAAATCTGCTTCATCATGACCCTACTGCGACATTTGACACAGCCGTGTGAGAGTTGTTAAACACTTGCACTGCGGCTTTTATAGAACAAGAGAAAGCTTATTGCCTTACAAGACTGAGATTCTCTCCTTATGCCCTGGTTCTCATGAAACTAGTAATTTCTACTTTCAATTGACTGACCGTTCCAGAAGAAATCGAACTCTTCAGTAAAATCTAAAACTGAAAACCTTGGAAAACGTAGAGATTATTGTTATTTGATGGATCGCTGCTTTGTTTTGCTTGCGATGATAATTGATTGATACCGATAATCTGGGATAAATAGGAGTTCCGAAGTGATAACTCGACTATAAAAGTGATTTTTTTTTTGAGGAAAAGTAATTGCTCACTTCTCCGACATGGATCGCGGTAGCTACGAAGAGAAGCAGCCTATTCGGTTGTCTACACAAAGTACGCAACAAGGTTCCACTATAGAGGTGGAAGATGTTACTTCCACGTCCAGTAAAAGGAGATCAGAACGCTTTGGAAATTCTGTGGATATCTCTCCGCTAGGCGGAGAAATCAAGAAGGCAAAGCGGTGAGTAAAAGTGTTGAATTTTCGAATTGTCGTGGTAGAGTGGCCTGGGTGGTGTAGTGGTAGCAGGTCACCCTGATGTTGGTGAAACGCGGATTCAACTCCCACCTAAGGTTGAGAGTTTTGCATATCACTTATCATCTTTCAAAACATTGTTGTGAGCGACAGCACTACTGTAAGAGCGGTAACATAAGAATGTTTGCAGTCATGAGATATCTTATGAAGCCGTGCGCCGCCACTATGGAGATGGGGATGTCGGTAGCTATGAAGAGAAGCCGCCCAGTCGGTTGTCCACACAAAGTACACAACCCAGTTCCACTATGGAGACGGAAAAGGTTACTTCCACGTCCAACAAAAGGAGATCAGAACGCTTTGGGTGAGTAAAAGTGCTGAATTTTCGAATTGTCGTGGTAGAGTGGCCTGGGTGGTGTAGTGGTAGCAGGTCACCCTGATGTGGGTGAAACGCGGATTCAACTCCCACCTAAGGTTGAAAGTTTTGCATATGACTTATCATCTTTCAAAACATTGTTGTAAGCTACAGTACTACTGTAAGAGCGGTAATATAAGAATTTTTGCAGACCTGAGATCTCTAATGAAGCCGTGCGCCGCTTGGCCTCTAGTGTGCGTGTGCACCGAGTGTCCAAGGCAGCCAAGAGCCAGAATGTCAGTCGTGCTGGAGACAAGAAGAAGAAGCATCGCCGGAAGGAGAGCTATTCGGTCTACATCTATCGTGTGCTGAAGCTAGTGCATCCCGATACCGGCGTGTCCACGAAAGCGATGTCGATCATGAACTCGTTCGTGAACGACGTTTTTGATCGCATTGCTTCTGAGGCATCGCGTCTAGCACACTATAACAAGCGGTCCACGATCTCGTCTCGTGAAATCCAGACGGCCGTCAGACTGATTCTGCCTGGAGAGCTGGCGAAACATGCTGTGTCGGAAGGAACCAAGGCGGTGAACAAGTACACTTTGAATAAATAAATCTCTCACGAATGTGCACTTAGTTAACCCAACGGCCCTCTTTAGGGCCACAAATCGAACCAAATACTTGTGTGATTTTCATGTCGAGTTTGTTTCTGCTCTTGTTTTTTCATATTGTTCTAGTAGTGGTTACTTGGTTGTTATTATTTCTAAAAGTTACTCATACTTACTCAATGGACTAGGGTGAAACAGTTATCTAAAGAGTAGAAGCTGAAGTCACCAACTACTTTCAGAAGAGGGCAGGTAGTTAGTCTCTCTCATAAACGTGTAAATTATTCAGAAAAGAACTGTAGATCATGCACTTCCTGGCTCGTAGGTGCGCTCCTACTGAGTGGCTTATCACTTCGAGTGGCGATCGTGACACCCATCGACCACCACGTGGACTGACGATCGCTACGGCCCGAATTTTGGAGTGGTGCCAATGGCGTCGATAGCGGAGATCATGCACGGTACAGTGAGCTATGCAAGCCATCAAAGTTTCGGCAATCGGGCTTATATGGGTTCAAAACGTGAGTGGTATTATTTTGAGCTACAAATGACGTAGCTGGGATTACGAATGGTCCGTACAACCAACCGATAGATCACTTGAAGGGCACGATTTATCTAAAGACTGAGGTCTCAAAAACAGTCAAAAACAAAAAGGTATCTAATGATTGGGAGAGACGAAGTAAGACTTAGATGGAACTATCTTATCTGGTTGTAATTGCGTCTGAATACACGAAGAAAAGACGAGAAGAATCTGCAAGTTCCGCAGAAATCGATTGGCCTTCGTTTGACTCTCGGCTAGTGTTTAGTGTTGTAGAAGTGACGTCATCGAGATGGCGAAGTTATTGTTGTTTTAGGCGAATAACATTCACTCGTTATTCTTTTTCTTTTACTACTATTTCCCTAGGAGTAGAGAAAGTTCCAATGAATATTTTCATTCAATCGGCGTAATCTTCCAAGTTTTATCACGGCGACTTACCAATGCGCTATTGTTGCAGAGTGACGAAATCATTATCGTGAACTTGCTAGGCTTCCTTTTCGTCAACAAAGTTAAAATCATACCCAAAAATGTTGAGTGATGTGCAAAACTTCGACGTCGTGCAGGACTCGAACCCGCATTTCACCCTTTCGAAGGGCGCGTGCTTAACCAACTGCGCCAGCGACGCCTGTTTTTTCCACCACTCTTCGGTTAAAGTGTATTTGAGATATAATCACAGATGCGAGCGATATCTGAAGAATGAGATGCCTTCAAATTCGGCAAAAAGTTAGACTAAAGATTGTCACAAGAATATTGGTGAATGGACGAATAAATTGTCGAAAAAAGTGGTCTAGAAATTTTCTATTCCTGTCAAATAGAGGGCACATTTTCTCTGCGAGACGCTATCGAGTCCAAATGTGGAATACTATAGTAATCCACGAGTTTGCTGAAGAATTGAAGTTGTCTTCCAGCACAAATAGTCGATTTACAGCACTCTTACGATCTACAATGAAGATAGAATTGGTTATTGATCGGTATGACTTCAGTTCAGTTCACAACTACTGATAGACATGATTTCTGTAGAGAAGAAAAGAATAGCTCACGAACTAATTCTTATTCGAAGCTTCACAAAATTGCTATAATTTCTTCTTCATTCCGATCGATGGATTTTGTTGATTGTTTGTGGCTGACGTTTCGGTAAGCACGCCTTCTTCAGAGCCGTGTACTTTAGTCTAAGGAGAGTTCGAAGGCTCTGAAGTAGGCGTACTCGCCGAAACGTCAGCCACAAGCAATCAACAAAATCCGTCAGTCGTCAAGAAGAACAATCGATCGGAAAGAAGAAAAAAAAGTTATCAACCTTATGAAGCTTAGAATAAAAATCAGTTCTTCAGATGTTCTTTTCATATAAACTTAAAAGACTTGAGTGATGAGCAAAAATACGACCTCCAACGGGAGTCGAAACTGCGTTCATCCATAAAGAGTGTTGGTGCGAATGTACGTCGGTATTGTAGTGCTAGCACGCATCTACGGTTTGCATCTCTCATCGACTAAAAGTGCAACTGGATTACGCTCATAACTTATTTGGCTTAATGTTCTCATTAATGCTATAACATACAGTATTAATGATATGACCGTGATTTTTAATAAGACCATAACTATTAACAATTCAGATATAGGGTATTTACCACTCATCAGACATTTCAATTTTACCAAATTACTACTGAATCACTCTCCGCGTTACTATGCATATATGATGTTATATCACTTTGATGAGCACATCGACTTTACAGATCAACTATGAATCACTTTGATAAAAAGGTGGACATGGCTCACAGAAACGTCGGCAGAAACTAGACAACACGTGTGACTGGAACAAACAGTATTCAAAGTGGTCCTGTCGGATGTTTAGACAGTTAAATTCAAAGTTTTCATTGCGAGAAGTATTTGTAACAAAAAAACGTGTAAAATTCTTGCACAACCCTGGCTTTGTCGGTGAAACTACTATCTCTTCGGTAGCACAACTGAAGTAAAAACGATTCAAACAGACCAACTATACATTGAATCTTTTCCCTAGAATATCCGCAATGCAATCATCAGCAAGTATATACGACGGTTTTCTAAGTTCGTAGGCTACATCGCTCATTTACTTATTAAGAATAATAAATCTGCAAAACAAAATGAGAAAAGAGCTCCTTTTATTTGGCCGTCGGTGATTCATATTTTAAACGAGCAGGAATGCTATAAAAAAGTGTTCTAAAAACAATCGATCGGAAGGTAATGACTATAATATTGTGTCGCGTGACGTCGAAATACAAGCCATTCACGAACTACTGATAGAATATGTAGAGAAAGCAAACATGTGTACCTATCCAACAGCTCATAACTCTGTTGAGAAAGTGGCTTATTCGGTCTGCGCGGTCAAGAAATATTTTAAGCAGATTATAAGGAGGGTATTCGGGAAACCAATAGTACCAAGGCTTTGTCATTGCTTTTCCTGTCGAAGGTTGAAACACCAGTTCTCAGCTGGCATTTGATATTCTGTTGTCGATACATACGCGATCATCCGTAGATTTAGAATAAGACATATCATTCCCGCAAAAGTGTCAAACAAAGAATAGTTTTTGAGATACTTTTGCAGCTTCACATTCTAATTAACATGCCAGTGTTTACTGAAAGACGATCTAATTATTGCTCTTGCAAACGCCCTCTGGGCTCGTATTCTTGCAATTAGTCTTCGTACTGAGCCGTTCATTGCACCGATACCTCCTGGCACACACATAGTTGAGACATTTAGGAATTTATAAAGCCATCTTGAGCTATGAGAACGGGATTATCAGAAAACCGAGGACTGTTTGGAAGCCATTTATCAGCTTCCACTTCTCTTTATCCTGTTCCAAGTTTGACCTTCTACAGAGTACCTGCAAGGAATTTTGAGGTATCGCTTTGTTAGACCATTTTCGAAAGTCCAATTACAATGCCTCGTGGTATGTGAAGAATTTATTCCGAAAATAGTTGTATAACTCATGAATACTCAATCAAATCACTTTGGTTTTGAAAAGCATCTAATACCTATTCTATCTCGATCATGTTAAAAGTTTTATAAAGCCTACGAAATCCAAATAAAGTGGCTACCTGCTTTTCTATAGAATTTTAGTAAGCTTCGTGTTTATCTTATATGTGGTCTAGCGTGTGGCACTATTTTCCAAAACCATGTGTTTCATCACAGCTGCCTCAAACCCACTGTTTTGTCAATCTTACTGAGCAGATTGTCACTAAAGAGTTAAGACTATGAACAGAGCAGCATTAGACGTCGCACAGGTCCTTTTTCTAGGCACACAGTTCTTATTAGCCTTCTTGTGACGGGAACACTCGCTTTTCAAATATTATGTTCCTGATAGGTAGAACCGTGGATCTAGTCAATGTGCTGATCATGTTTGCTGGAGAATAATTAGACATTTGAGTGAGAATATTTTAGATTGAAACTACACATTTGTTAAACGACGAGATCGCATTTCGAACATCCCAAGAGAAAGCTAAAATAGTCTAATTACCTTCTTAACTGTCACATTGTGGAAAATATAGTCATGACTGTGAGGAAATCTCTGTATAAGGAGTTTGCTCTCTTTGACACCATTTACACATGGACATTCTTCTCAGCCACCTTTATGGATGAAATGAGAAGAAAAGCTTAGAAAACTAATCTTTATTTAAAGCTTCACGAGGTTGGTATCTTTTCCCAATCGATTGCTCTTCTTTCCGGTCGATGGGTTTTCTCGATTGCTTGTGGCTGACGTTTCGGCAAATATGCCTTCTTCAGAGCCTGAACGTATTATTCGTTGCAGCTTTATTTATATGACTATACAATAAGGAAAGAGAAAAAAAAAATTATTTGAAAATCTAAGGTATTGTAAGCGAAAATCGATTCAGGGAAAACCACTCACCTAACCATCTAATCCAGGGACTACCTATGTTGTTAGCGCCAGGGTGACGTATGAACCCGCCCCCATGTCAATAGATCAAACTATGCATAGGTGTCAGCTGGGACCCATGCTAGAAAATTAATCTGAGATAAGGTGCCATATGGTTGGTTATGTTAAGGCACTCTCCCTTTTTGTTCATTTGCGGGTTTTTGGAATTTATCCAAAAAGCTTCAAGGGTCTTTCGCGCCGATGTCTTTGGTTCGTGCCCTAGAATTTTGACTACTACCTCGAAGTCATCATCGTTGTGTCTTTGAATCCTATGTGTACCTAGAGGTTTACCTGGGTCTTTATTTGCTTTTCCATCTAGGTGCTCTTTAATCCGGATGTGAAGTGGTCTGCCTGTTTCGCCAATATATTCATCACCACATGTCTTACAAGAGATTAGGTATATTGTACCTACGCTCATGCAATCGCCGTCTCTACCGTTGGGGCAAATAACGCAGTCCTTCGTATTACATAGACGGTCATACAAGCGGTTTCGAACTAATTGACGACGCAGTGTTTTAGGCGGAATTTCTACAATTCCTACAGAATCTTCTAGACCACTGTTTTTCAGACACTTTCTAATAGCGGTACTGACTTCGTCTGTTATGAAAGGTAGTTTAAGAGGTACCTTATTGTTTAGGTGTGGCGCCCTGTCGTTCCCATTGCGAGGCTTTTCGCTCCTTTTGGGCCTAACGTTAGTCTTTGTTTTTCCTTTGTACCCATTAGAAATGGCTATTTTTCGCGCTAAGTCTAGTGATTCCCTTCTTTCATCGTCTCCCGTACAAACACTTACAGCTGTTCGACACATATTTCGGATAAGTGCCTTTTTAGTATGTGAGGGATGGGAAGAAAGGTAATGTACTAAGATGTTTTTATTACTAGGCTTGCGGTACCATTTTGTGCTATAGCCACTTTCATTAAGTTGAACTTGAACGTTCAAGAAGGGAAGCCAGCTCTCTGAATTTGGATGTTCTCGCGTCAACTTAATAAACTCTGACTGTCCGTTCAGGATTTCGAAATACTTATCCATCTCCTCTTGTGTAGAGCAGATGATGAAACAGTCGTCTATATAGCGACAGTAGAGTATTGGACGCCGATGGAGAACTGGAGCTTCCACTTTTGACATGAAAGCGATGGCTAAGCTGGGTGCTAGTCTTTGCCCCATTGCCAACCCTCTAATTTGCGCGAAATATTTTCCCGACCACCTAAATATCGAACAGCTTAGACATGACCTAAGGAGTGTGATAAGCTGTTGGACCGACAAGCCAAACATATCTACGTTTTCTATGTTCTCTATCAGTAATTCATGAGTGGCTTGTATTGCGACGTCATTTGAGACGTTTGTATAGAGCGCTGTAACATCAAACGACTCCATTACGTACGTATGATTTGGACGCGCATTTTTAAGGTGCTCTAGGAATATATTGGTGTTGGGGAGATGGGTTGGTATGAACTTCAGTAATTGCGACAAAATGAGGCCAAGAAACCAAGTAATCCTATCCGTCGGCCCGCCTACACAGCTAATGATTGGTCTAACTTTGAATGTAGATGGATCGGTAGACCCAAAATCATTAGCAGAAATTTTATGTGTTTTAATGAGTGTGTATAGGACGGGGCAAGTTGGCGATTCAATTTTTAGTTGACGGATAAGAGATTGTTGTAAACCCGCAGCTTTTGCCGTCCGGACCCATTCTTCATTCAGTTTTCGGCATTGTGATTTATAT